TTCAAGTGCGACCAGTCTGGCAACTTCTGCTTGACTTCTGTCCTCATCTTTAGCAGTTTTTTCCTTTTCTCGTTCCTCTTCTTGACTCTCAAAAAGAGCAACAGCTTCCTCAATGGCGTCTTCAAGCTCACTTGGCTCATCAGTGCCAATGCCCGAAGCATTAATTTCCTCTCCTTTTTGTATTTTTTTTGCTAACAAGTTATAGCGATCGCGTACAGCCCTGATGTCCTTCAAGTTGAAGACTACATCTGCTCTTGAATTTAAATTGTCGACGATTCTTTCCCAAACTAGTCCTATTCGCCTCGAACCTTTAGGATTATCAAAAGGACGTTCTGTTAAAATTTCTTTAATCAACTCTAACGGAATAATTTACTTGAGAAAGGATGAAAATAGTGATGTTATCAAAATTAAATGCAAGGAGGATCTTCCAAAGATGGCATGCCTTCAATGTTTAAATGCCACCTCGATTGGTAACGACAGGTGTGCTGAACCCCATATCTTGCAACCAACTAGAATAACTGATCATTCAGCCACATTAATTGATAATATGTTTTTGAATACCTTTGAACATTTTGTTATTAGTGGCAACATTGTATATGATATTACTGATCATTTACCAAATTTCCTAATTTTTGATAAATTCACTTCTCTTCCGACTAATATAAAACTATATAAGAGAGATTACTCCAAATTGAATTATTCAGATCTAATTAATGATGTTCAAAATATCAACTGGGATGAAGTTTTTGTCTCAGAACTTGACCCATCTTCAATGTTCCACTCATTTTATGACCGAATCTCAGTTATAATAGATAAGCATATACCAGTAAAGCAAATAACATGAAAAGAACTTAAGCTAAACTCTAAACCATGGATTACGCTTGCACTAAAATGGTCAATCCAAATAAAAAACAGATGGCATAAAAAATTTCTTAAAACTAAATCAATTTATTATTACAATAAATTTAAATATTATAGGAAGAAATTGAATCATCTTCTAAAGCTGAGTAAGAAACAATATTATAATAAATACTTCCTTGACAATAAACATAATAGCAAAAAATTTATGGAAAGTAATTAAACAAATTGTTCACTTTAAACCACAGTCATCTCATAAACTTATTAAAATTGTAGAAAATAGCCAAGAAATAATAAATCCAAAGTTGGTGGCAAATGCTTTCAATAACTATTTTGCCAATATAGGTAACAAACTTTTAACTAAGATACCAAACGTACAGAATTCCCCATTAGATTATTTACCTACACCAGAAAGCAATAGTTTTGCAGTTTTTCCTACTACAAGAGAGGAAATTGAGGATATAATATCATCTTTAAAAACAGGTAAAGCTGCAGGTCCTTCTAGTATACCGATCGATATACTCAAAGTTTTAAAATATGTTATCTCCAAGCCGTTAGAATTAATTTTTAATGCTTCTTTTATGACCGGCATTGTGCCTATTGATTTTAAATTAGCTAATATAATTCCTGTTTATAAGACAGGATCCCATACATATGTAGGTAATTATTGGCCAATTTCGCTTTTGTCAATCTTCAGTAAAATTCTAGAAAAATTAATGTATAATAGACTATTAAATTTTCTTGATTGAAATTATATATTTTTTGAGAACAATTTGGTTTTCGCTCAGGTCACTCCACTGACCATGTTATGCTTTGCATAATTGATCAAATTCAGAAAGCAATAGATGACCGTAGTACCTCTTATGGAATATTTTTAGATTTTAGTAAAGCTTTCGATACGGTTAATCATAAAATACTTATTAAGAAATTGGAACATTATGGTATTCATGGTGTAGCTAAAGATTGGTTCACTTCATATCTCAGTGATCGAACACAAGTTGTCACTGTGAATACTGTTACATCAGATCAACATAATATTTTATGTGGAGTTCCACAGGGATCTGTTATTGGCCCTATATTATTCTTATTGTATATAAATGACTTTCATCTTTGCTCCAATTTTTTTGAATTTCATTTATTTGCAGATGATGCTAATTTGTTTTGCGAAAATAAGAATACTTCAATACTATTTGCTAATGTTAATTTAGAACTAAAAAAAATTCATACTTGGCTATGTGCTAACAAGCTATCTCTTAATATAGAAAAATCTAAGTATGTTATATTCCACCTACGACAAAAGAAAATAGAAACCCACAATATTCATTAACTATTAATAATTGCACTCTTGAACGTTATTCTTCCATCAAGTATTTGGGTATATTTATTGACTCTAATTTGAGTTGGAAGAGTCATGTTGAATACATTAGCAAGAAGGTTAAAAGAAGTATTGGCCTTTTATCAAAGTTAAGGCATTATGTTTCTGAAGACATTCTAAAAAAAATTTATTATTCTCTAATATATCCATTTTTAATTTATGGAATAATAGTTTGGGGAAATACTTATACTATGTCACTTAACCCATTATACATACTGCAAAAAAAAGCAGTACGTATTATCACATTTTCAAGTTTCGATCAACATTCAACTCCATTATTCAAGTATTTGAACATTATAAAGTTTTTCGATCTTGTCAAACTACATATTTCAATATTTATGTATAAATTTCATAACGATGGGCTACCATCGGTCTTTCGTGATTTCTTTATTAGTGTTAATAAAATACATAAGTATAATACAAGGCTTGCTTCAAAACAGTCTTATTATCTACCAAAAGCAAGAACAAATTATGGCATTTTTAATATTAGATTTCAAGGTCATACAGTCTGGAATTCTGTTGATGAGAATCTAAAGTCCTGCTCAATTGCATTATTCAAATCTAAAATGAAACAAAGCTTTTTAGAACACTATTGATCTTCCATGTTTATATCTTGCTCTTGAAATTGATAAAATTTGTTTTACAAAATGTACTATTGAATGATAATGTACAACTAAGTGTTTTTTTTGTTTTGTGACCAAATGTATTGTTTTGTGACCATATATAATTTATTTTTTAACAATTTCACTTATCTGGCCGCCAGGCATTTTTAACCCTATACGGTTATTTCTGGTGACCAGAAACCCTACAAAATTAAAATTTAATATGTAAATAGATTAAAAAAAAAGGGATAAATAAATACACTTCTTCTTGTACTGCAAAGAAGGGTTACAAGGAAGCCAGATTCAAGGTTCCATCAGTGAATGCCACTTAACCTCTGTCGTTATTGTTATTTGCCCTCTAAATTCGCTCATTAATGACCAAATTCGGAAGATACTTACGACAGGCCTTCGAGTGTCCGTATTAAATGTCAACAGAACTTGTGATGATATTACAAGTGATTCTATCGACGACGAAGTTCTCTGTGACGTAGTTGAATTTGAGAAAAAGGAGAAACTGCTTGCTGGTTATTATAACATTTTATTTGCACATCCTGAATCACTGTTATCTAGCAGATTTGGACGAAGTCTTGTCAATAGTGTGGTCTATCAAAAAAATGTTTTGTGCCATTGATGAAGCACACTGCATCATAGAATGGTATGTATATAAATGTGTGTATGAATGTGTGTGTGTGTAAATTATGAGAAAACAAATCTGTGTGGTTTACCTGTAATTGGCAAGAAATGTTATTTGCTAATATAGAACCTAACACTTTAACAGTATAAATGCACAAGCCAGACTTTCGTACTACAGTTATAATACAGACCCTAGCAATGATGGGGAATTTGAAACTTTCCTTGACTATAATGTTCATTGAATGTATAGATTTATGATACATTCTAACTTGCACTTATCATTGTGCTTTTAGGGGAGATGATTTTAGAGATGATTATGGAAAGATTGGAATGTTGTGTGCAAGTTTTCCCAATGCTCCAGTCCTTGCATTGACTGAAACTGCAAATAAAATGGACAGAAAGCATGTTAAAGAATCGCTTGGGTTATTGAATTGTGCCGAGTTGGTAGCAAATCCTGATCGTAGGAATATATTTTATGAGAAATGTTTTAGAAAGGGACAAGACATTGACTCTCTTGAAAACATTTGTAGACCAATTGCCAATGACCTAATGAATATGACCATCAACTATCCATTGATAATTATATATATGCCACTTAAATGGTGTGGGTTTGTATATAGACTGTTTGAGAGCATCATGGGATTGTATCAGTACTACCCATCCAATTCTTCGCCTGTTCCAAAAAACCAACTATCTGCCCAATTCCATGCACCCCAAACAACTAGTATGAAGGAAGAAATATTATGCCAGCTGAACTCATAGAAATCAAACCTCAGAATGGTATTTGCTACAGTTGCATTTGGAATGGGAGTAGACATCATTCAGTTAGGCAAATTATTCATATTGGACCGCCCAGAACGATAAGGGAGTATTTCCAAGAAACTGGTAGAGCAGGCAGAGATGGTAAGTTTTCAAAAGCTATCCTCTATTACAGTAACAGAGATATTGCTCAGAACAAACCAGGTTTCCAAAAAGTAGTAAGGACATACTGCCATTGCAATGATCAGTGCTTGCGATGCTTACTCCTACAGTTTTTGGATGTCAAACTGCCAGTACCTGTTTCACCTGGACATTTATGTTGCAGTGTGTAAGAAAACTTGTGAATGTATCAAGTGCATTTTAGATACCGGTATGTAAGTTATTTGACCATTAAGGCACAATTATTTTGGTTTCCAAATATGATCAGTTGGTGTTAAAAATGAGCTTACATTGCACCTTAATATTTTTATAATTTATATGTCAAATATAAACACAATTCATTTCACGGGAACCATCAGAGACAGCACGTCAACAATGTTGGGTTGACATTTTCTTCCAATTGTGTAAACATAATAAATACTTAAATTCAACTTTTATACTGTAGTTTGAAAATTATATTCTTCAGTTAATTCCTATATATATATATATATATATATATATATATATATATATATATATATATATATATATATATATATATATATATATATATATATATATATATAAATTAAGGTAGAACAAATCAACAAAATCCACTAGGCATCTTTATTACTAAATAGTTTCGTACCACAGTATGTGGCACTCTTCAGATAAATTGACCTAATGACTATAGACTAAAACTTACAAGGTTATATGTACAAGTGGATGAGACATGAAACTTAATCCTATTTACAAAGCATGCGATTTAATTAATATTTTGGCTAATTGTGTTACTAAAGCTTTGCATGTCCTTTTTTATATGTATACTGCAGGTATATGAGAGATTCAACAAGTTTGGTCTTTGTCTGGTAAAAACAATGAAGTACACCATACAGGAAGACATTGGTGTTCATTTCCTAGACAAAGTCGTAGAGGAAATTAAGGATGGAAAAACATTCTCCTTTGTCATTGACAACATTGACTGGGAGGAGCATGTTCATGAAATGCGGTCAGATAACCAAAACGAGAGTGTGCATGCCGTAGCAACATCTATAGTGTTTGATCATGTTTCATCCATCCACTTGCCAGATGAAGAGCCACAGCAGTCCTTAGCTTCCTGTGATGTTGTCAAATTAGTCCAGTTATCAGACAGTGATATTACAATTCAAAAGCAAGTTTATAAGTCAATAGCCGCACATATTCTTTGTGAATACATCCCAACCTTTAAATTCCTCAAGGACTTGGTGACTCATTTTGATGTACCAATGCAACATAAGGTGGAGATGCAACAAAAGTCCCTGGTTGTGCCCTTCCCTGTCCTGTTTAAAGATGAAAAGAAATATGCAGAAATTGTGGATGTGTTGGATCAGCTGGAAAAATGGGTCCACCAAATTTATGCTCTGGCAGGTAAAATTCCACCTGAGAAAGATATCTCAAATGCCCACCATGTGCTACAGAACTTAGCAAATATGTGTGGGAATTGAAAAATCGAAACATCCATTATACAATCAAATGGAAACTATTGAAACGAGCTAAGCCTTATAACTGCTTCAAATAAATGTAATTTGTGATTATGGGAGAAATACTTTATTATTTGTAAGCCCAAAATGACCACTCTAAACAAACGTAATGAGTTAGTATCAGCATGTAGGCATAATAAAAAATTCCTTTTAAGTAACATTTAAAAGCTAGACATTTAAATATACCGCGGTGTGTTAATCATTCCGCGTCCTGTCAGCTTATCATATAACATGTTTATTAATGTTGCTAATTTAAGTTATTTTTCACCATTAATTTTTATTTAAAATAAGTTTTTGGCACGTGAACCGTGTCGTCTTCAGGGTACTAAAATGTTGTACGACAATACAAGCGCATTTTAATATAATAATTGGCAATTTTAGTCTATTAGAATGTATGTAAGATTTTAGACCAGTTTTTACAGTAACTGTTTGTAATGTGCTGCAAATCATCATGGCCCGTGCAACATTTACTTATCTATCCAAACGAATATAAACTAATTATATACAACAAAAGTCAGACAGGCTTTTGTTTTGATATGATTATGTTTGACGTTGCGTGACATATCACAACAATAGAATTCGACTTGATTGAAATGAAATTGACAACACAAAGGCTGTGCACTATTTGCAACAGAAATAATAAATTCTGACATTGAAAATCCCACGAAAAGGTGTGTAAAAAATAGCTTATGGCCAAGGATAAAACAAGTAAGATTAACAGCTTTGCTTGGAACTATATAATATTAAAATTTAAAACAAATTTGCAAAAAGTTTTTGCTGTTTATCACAATGTTTATACAGACTATACAGGGTGTATAATTACAGTTTCAATTATAGGCAACGCTAACTATAGCGTTTGCAGTTTTTTTTATACACCCTGTATACAAAAAACAAAACATTGTTTATCGGCAGTCAAAAAAATTTAGTCAAATAGATATTTTGTGTTAATTTACCTCTGTGTTGGCGTCACTGTCAGCTAGTAAGATGGTAATAAGGCGTTGTATTAAACTCAGTTCATGGCATCGCCTAAACATCAACACGCCGTAAATAAGGCACAGAGGAGCAACTTTTTTCTCGTTGCCACAGTCCAAATCTAGCATCTGGGATAAACTTGTGAATGTTACTGGGCACATAGTTCGTAGCTCTTTGAGAATGTTCTCCGACGAAAAACTACTCATAGCGGCAAAATCCTTTCTGCGAAGAACAGAATTCATGTCTCTCTGCGCAATCTTTCATAGTTCTTAATCTATTTTCTTGAGTATTTCATCGAACGGCAATTCATTCAGGGCCGGTTTGGAAACGGTGTCTTTGATGGTCTGAGTTTCAACATCAATCTATATTTATGATAAACCAAAAATTATATAAAGTTTTAAATTTAAAATATTATAAAATGAAAGTTCCCTAGATGAAGTAGAAGATATGATTATTTTATACAGTAAATATAGCGTATATACCTTGGGCAATGTAGGTTCCAGGGGGAGATTGTATGTTTCAAATGATGAAGAAAGGCATCGACGACTTTGAGAAGATTTACCACGAATTAATGTGTCTGTTTTTGCACTCTTTTCATCAGCGGTAGGTGCAGAAGGCAAAAGTTCAATGCATCTCTTTTGGCGCATCATGGAGTCTTGGTTATCGCATATCATGTTTTTAAACTTCATGAAGTTATCCAGTCATCTTTCACAAGGCCGGCATACAAGATGAGGAAGTGAATCGCCACGCAGTAGTTTTCCACCGTATAATAATTTGGCAGAAGCAAGCACGTTTACACTGGCCTTATTGTACAGGTTTTTACTGTGTTTTGGATCGATTATGCTGCAACAAAGTCGACACATAGACTTTGAATCTAAGTTCGACTTGGCGTATACCTTCTTTGGTGTTTCTTTTCGCTGCGCCATATTTGCTATCTGAATGTGTGAGCCGCGATTTTTTAGTATATATTGCATTTCGGCATTGCAAAGGCATCACAGCGTCAGGACGTCCCATTTGCAAATAAGTGCTAAAAGCAGCATATTGACTTTGCCACCCCTCCCTAAGAGTTGAATTTGAATTGAGCACTAATTAAAAATCTCCCAGATTTTGCGAGATTTGGAGGTGTCACATGACCAGCCTGAACCAGGGTCTTCGCCGCAGCCCAGCGTAGCTAGAAGGCTCTGGCTTGCGAGGTTGTGTTGACCTTGGCAAAGAAAAATTGAATGAGGCTTTAACATCCACCAATGAACTTGTCACTCATGCACTGGCATTTTTGGTAAGAGGTGTGGCAACAGATTTAAAGTAAACATTAGCATACTTCCTTACAAAGGACGTGACATCTTACCAGCTGATGTCACTTTTTTGGAAGGCTGTATGTGTGCTGGAACTGGGATGCAATCTATGGATATGTGCAGCTGTAAGTGATGGGGCATCACCTAACCTTCTCAAATTCATTAATAATTCATGAGTAATTCAGCCAATGATAATAACCTATTTGATCACAAGATGCCATTTGGATACTTGATGAAAGTCACTAGTGTTTTCATCAAATATCTTAATTATGCATGCAAAATTACTTGAATAGAATTCCTAATTAAGTTATGCTTGGTTAAGAATTCTATTCAAATCAGCAAACGAAAACATTCTGTTACGTTTCGATTCATTTGAGAAGCCATATAAACAACACTCGCTCTCGTGTTTTCATACATTGTTTTCTCGTGTTTAGACATCCCGGTGAAACACTTGCTCTCGTTGTTCATATATTACATCAATGTTATGAGCTGCACGCTGGTATTGCTGATAATGCAAGCGAAAGAATTGTGCATGCAATGATTAATCTCTTCTGTCCGAGCAGAAAAATCTACTTTTTCTGAGATGCACCACATTTGGTAAAGATATCACGAAACTGTCTTTTTAATTCAGGAAGTGGAAAGTGCTGTTGGCAATTATAGAACAATGAGAAATTCTTACTGTGGGAGCATATTGCTAAACTGTATATTTCCCATTTAGACTGTGGTCTTCATCAGTTGCCAAAAGTTTCTGTTGGTCACATAAATTTGAAGTCTTTTTCCAAGATGAATGTCAGCTTAGCAACTCGAGTAATGAGCAAGACAGTGTTGTTGGCTTTAAAATGCTACTACACTAAAGGAGAAGCAGATGAAACAGCCAAGTTATGTGAGATGATCAATGACTTCTTTGATTGTCTGAATGTTCGTTCCTTTCATGAACATGAGAGAAAACGCAATGCTTTTTGGCACCATACCGGAGCACCACAGATTCTCGGTTTGAATGGCTTGAGAATGTATTTCTCAGGTATCTGGCTGATTGACTTTCCTCCACTCAGATTTGTGCTGGCTCGTTCACTCCATACCAAAGGGCTAAAATGTCCCTGTCCATTCAGACATGCAAAGGACTACAAATAACAGTCAAGTCTCTTTGATTGACAAAATTCTTGCTGGTTGAAGGATTTGAGAGTGTCCTGACAGAGAGATTTTGCCGAGATGATGTGGAGGAGTATTTCGGGTACCAGCGAGCTCAAGGTAGGCGTGCTGACAATCCAACTGCTGCTGACTTTGGCTACAACGACCTGAGGATTTCTGTTTTGAGAGACATTGCACCAGTTGCTGAAGGTAATGTTGCTGGAAGGCACACTGGTCAAAGAAGCAAATGGTACAATGTTTCTGAAGAAGCCCTTGCCAAAACGATAAAAAAGTAATTAACATACTTAATAAGTAGACTATTTATATATGGATACATATTGTAAATCCTGTATTAATTATCCCCCATGAAAGTAGCACTATCATTAATAAAAATTTTCTAAAGGAAAGAGCTCTTAAAACTGTAAAGTTAAGGATTTGGGAGCATTGCCTGCCAATGGTTAAATAAAATATTTTCACAACTCAAAACATGGAAAAATCTTCAAATGAATTTTAACAGCTTGGCCGCCACCTTAGGGGACTCATCAAATGTTCTCAATCAATGTACTTAAAGTGTCAAAGCTGTAAAAAAGATACTGTTCCCTTCTAGCAAGCCTTAATTAAAAGTGCACAAAATATCCCCCACTCTGCCAATTATTAAAGGATTTATAGGAATTGAACAAAGCTACAGTAAAGACTGGAACAATAAGTACATAAAGTGATGTTGGAAACCACTAATTCTAGTACATTCTATTATAAATATTAGTGTTTATATTAATCTCATATTATTGATTTGTTATCACGAGGGGACACGCGAGTCCCATATTATTCTAAAGTAGAAATATACTGAAATAAATACAGTTTTCTTTCTTTGATTTATTAGTACTAAACTTTATTCTATTGTTGGAAATTAGACTGCTCTCAAGTCTCAACAGTGGTAAAGAATTTGTTTTCAATTTACTGGCAGTACTCCACCACTGATGAGTAAAATCATCTGGCATTAGACAGAGTAAGTACTAAAGTAAGGCGCATTGCCAGTAAATGGGTTAATATGTAAACACAACATTGATATTTATGTAAATTTGATCATAAAAAGTACAATTTTGGTTGATTCCCCAAAACAATTTATTAATATTTACACTAAGATAGATATTTGGCTCAAATTGCAGCCATTGAGTTCCTTGCAGGTGGTTCTCAACCAGAGGGGGTCGGACAAGCAGGCCGCAAAGCATCATGGGTTTGAGCACCTAATTGCAGGCATGACTTCAATGACTCTTTGACTGTCGTGGAGTGAACATCTTTCTGAGTAAACAAATATGGAAGCATTCGAAAGACAAGATTGTCAGGCTGCAATACTTCGTGAAAATAGCATGTTATTGCTGTATTGTTGCGATCCTCATTATGACGTGCGAGTTACTATACCAAGTTTACCTTATATTAAATTGCATGGGACAGTGCTGTCTTTTAGCTTTATAAATAATCCGCAAAGGAATTGTGTTATTGACAATAGCAAGACTCTTCTTTCTAAGTTGGATGGTGTTAAAGGACAATGGCAACAAAATTTTTTATTTTCTGTATTCATTAAACTTACTAACAGAATATTTAATTTCATATTTTTGTTTGTCCATTGCATTTAGTTGTTCAGAAAATTTGCGAAAATGTTTAACAAAGTTTAACAGTTGTCCGTCATCTTGGGAAAATTCTGTGTATGCTAATTTATGCATGAATACATTTGGTGACGTAAATGGCAGGGTAAACACAAATCCCACAATATAAGTTATACTGTAACAACGTTGAGATTTGGAAGAAAATGTTTACAAAAAAATTACAGATACACAGCAATGTGTACTAATAGTTCAATAATGTGTAGCAACTTACTACCAAAGGTGCGCGATTGTGTTTTCGACAGTGAAGCGTATAGTAGTTCTGCTGTTCCAATTACATGTCATATATTCAAATTGTATGTATATATATCATATACATTTATGTATATGCATGCTCTGTTGCAGAAATATAGAAATAATTTGCATTGAAATAAAAGATTCTACTGAGTATTTATTGTATCAAAGTATTATTATTAATACAAAAATCATTCAATGAACTGCAACAATGTTAACTATTAATACAAAAATCATTCAATGAACTGCAACAATGTTAACTAATGTTGCAGTGGATAATTCCACCATGAGGCACACCAGCCTTAGACGAAACATTTTAAAATCTTGTGCCAGAATTCACTGGCCGTCAACTTTGAAAAACATTGACTGCACAAATTTTATATCGGGCTGAATCAATATCATGATAGGTAATTGAAAAATTGATCATGATTCTGAACATAGTTAATATAATGAGAGGGTTTGGAAGGCGAGGTCACGTGACAAAATAACTTATTGTTCTTTGTCACGTGGAAGCCAAGGTGCATTGACGAGGTGTTTACCTAGTAAAATCATATAGATTAAGCTAAGGGGGACACAAAATCATCGTATTTAGGCAATTTTTTCGCGATGCCAGGAGCGAATTGCTCCATATTTAGTTGCGCAGCAAGTCAAAAGCACGTTGGAGTAGGTATTTTTAAAATTCCTGCAGAAACAGATGAATTATCGAAGAAAACCCGCGAAGCTTAGATAAGTGTTATCACGAAGGACCGCTCTGTGGACGAAAGTTTGCGTCGACAAATCAATAGCGGAAATCTGTATATCTGTGAGAGGCATTTTAGGCGGAAAGAAGAATATGAGTGTTGTATTAAAGTATACATTAGAGACAAATTCGAAAAATTACAATATATGAATAATTTAGACAGTGTCCTCGCTCTGTTTACAACGCCAAATCACAGATTTTCACGTCTTGATAGAACGGCTGCATTTCAAGCCGCAACAAGTGCAACATCAAACCGGGTTCAGGAAAACTCTACCCATGTCGTCAACTTCTAAAACTGTATTAAGTTCATACGATTGATAATATACTACGAATTATCTTTACTATCATTTATTTGAAGGAGTTTGTTTTGGCCGTCGTCGTCGCGTTGCCGTCCTAAAATCGTAAAGTCTGTATTATCTAAGATGCGACATTTTAATACATATCAGTGCGGTGTATAAAGTCTTTCGCTGCATCACAAGCCAATCGTCGTCGCGTTGCCATCCTAAAATCGTAAGGTCTCTATTATTATATATGATGCGACATTTTAATACATATCAGTGCGGTGTAAGGTCAGGACCTTTAGAGTCGAAAACAATAGCGCTCGATCTGTATGGAAATATATATTTTGGCTGTTTCAAACATTCATAGTCGTATAAATTTGAATAAAGACAAGTTTGCGTTAGAATACTCGGTAAAATATTACCTTAGCCGAAAACTTTAAAGCAGTGGATGTATTTTTGTATAAAATTTACTAGTAAGCAGAATTTTGAGAAGGCTACAGTATGTGATATATCATATATCAACGAACTTTATAGATTATTAGTGAATAGTGATTTTTACAGTGTAAAGCGGGAGCAGATTGCCCAATGGAATATAAAAAGGTCTTAAACGTTGCCTTTTGCATAGGCAAAGTACGATAAAGTCTTTACATTTATCAAAACGTTGTAAAACCATCGAAAAAAACCCAATTAATATAGAATTAATATAGATTATACTATGAAATCGCCATGTTATGCACCTTGACTGTCACGTGATGCCTCTCTTCGAGTTTATGTGTCAATAGGTCACATGTTGCTTTGAAGTTTGCCGGCCTTCCAAACCCTCTCATTATATTAACTATGTTCTGAAGAGATAATATACTTCTAATGCACGCCAGTGACATACATTTAGCTAGAGATTTCACAACTATTGTTTTTAAAACTGGGCAGGCTTTCGAACGACATTGCTCGTGAAATAGCTGGTATCTATATTTTCTGTAATGTGTAGTGTCGGCTGTGTTGTGCAAGTTAGATATTGTGCAAATTAGTAAATTAACATTCAAGGTCAGATTTTACCAAACAAGAGATAAGTGTAAAATAATTATATCTGGTTATATGTTGCGATGTATTTTTACATGTAGTTTTACTTGGTTATCAATTGTAGCATTGTTTTATATAGGTAAAATACTGTGATGCATGTAACTTCCAATATTATATCAATACTTTCATTGTGCATGCAAAGGAAATAAAGCCTTGTGCATGTAAAGGAAAATGTGCCACAAGAAAGTGCGATTGTAGGGGAATGGAAGTGATGTGTGACACCAAGGGCAAATGTAAAATAGAAAAGTGTATTAACTGTGAGACAAATTTGGGCTTTTTCTCAATTCATGCACAACTGAAATAGCTTGATATAACAAATATATACCAATGTTTAGGGTTATGGTAAAGTTTTGGTAGGATTACAGGTGTATAATATAGCTTAGAAGGTTAGGGATGGTTATCAATTTTTATTTATGTTGGGTCAGGCACTCTTGTAGACTAATGTTTTATATTATATAAAGGGTATGAAAAAATTAATATTTAATTATACTGTATATGAAGTTAAAGTTTGTTTAATTAATATATAAAGCGAAATAGCACATACTTGCCAAACATTTGTATGAATATTAATACCAATACCACAGAAAACTGTCATTTATTAAAAAGAAATGTATAAACATTACTGTTTTGATGTTTTGGCATATTTAAAATGTGTGTACAGGCAGGGGCGGATCTAGGGGTGATCAGAGCGATCACGCGACTAAGGTAAAAATTGGCCAGAAAAATAGAAAATTGTTAAATTAAAATAGCAGTCCAGTTATCAAACTTCGCACAGTGTAATGTATTGAAAGTTTAAGGTGGTCTTCCACCCAGATTTTTATTATCAATAAAATAGCTTCAGCTCAACTACTTATGCATGAACCAAAGAGGTACTGGTATAGTGATCACAACAACATAGATGATGAACTGCATGTTGCCATAGCAACCAAGATAATGACCCCCAACCGTGATTTTAGTCTCCATTTTTCAAGAAGTCTAGAGAAGCAAAGAAGGGCTAGAAATACAAACAAA